ATTTCCACTCAACAGAATACAACTGCAGGCAGAAGGGGCTGGAGCGTTTGCAACCTCTGCTTTGCCTATTCGAGTGACTCCAAAGCTCTAGGGGTGCTCTGGGGACGGGAGGCTCTGAGCAGCCCTAGGACAAACTGTGGCCAGTCCCCATGTTTCATCATGACGTCATGACACAAGAGACATCAAAGACTAAAAGTCAGCAGGAAGGGGGAGCTCGGATAAAATCCTAGGCGCTGCCTCCGCTTCCCTGCTCCCCTTTTCCTTCTTGAGTTTTAAAATGTCATTACAATAGAACGTGTGTGCTGAGTAGTTTAGGGTAAGTGTGAGTGGAACTTGCAAAGGTTTCAACCACCAAACGTCCAGGAGGTGATTACAAAGGCAAAGAGCCAGTGTTTGGGATCAAAGGGTCGCAGTGTGGGGAACAGAGATTCTCCTGGAAAATGCTTGTGTCCCCTGGAGGGTGCAGTTGTGTGTGTGTGTGAGTGGGCGGGGTTGTCAGTACTTTGAAGAAGAGGGTTGTCCAGTGTCAGGAGGCTTAAACTCTCCGACAGGCTAGCTGGCTACTGACTGTAGGAAGGGTAAACCGAGGGCTGACTGGCTACATCAGCTGTCCAACAGGGTTTTCTAGGTGGTCCTTCAAGCACGTGACTGCAGCCGGCACACAGGTTTCTGATCGGCTGGAAGGGGCGGGAAATGTCTCTGCTCTGCTGTCGACACACCTTCCCAGGCGCAATCCTTCATTGCTCCTTGGCATGTCCTGCCCCGGGTCCCCCCGACTGGCACCGCAGACTCAGGGGGGTTTAGCACGCAACTGGGGGTCCCGGGCCTCAGGAGCGCTCCACTGGCTGAGATGGGGCTGGCGGGCACGGCCAGTCTCCCACCCACACTGCCCCTCCTGCCCTGCCTCTCGGCCGGTCCCTACAGCTGGGACCCCCCCCCCCAGTCCAGTCTCGCTTTCCTTTCTCTTCCCGAGGGGCTTCCAGGCCTCTCCCTCCTGCTCACATTCTGCCGTGTCCTTCAGTTCGGGAGGACAGCCCGGCTCTTCCCGGGTGAGGACACAGCCCGGGCTGGGGACAGCGGCACCAGCTCTCGCGGACATGCTTTGGGCTCCCGTGGGCCAGCCCGGCTGTGCGTGTCTGCTGCTCCGCGGACCCCCACGCAGCCCCCGAGGTGTGGCAGAAGCTCCAGGCCCGGCTCACCGCAGCCACGTCTGCCCAGGGCCTGGGGTTCCCTCCTTGGGTAGGAGAACTTGCTAGAACGTCTTGTAGGACACAGGGCAATACAGTGGCAGTACACTACCCGGTCTATCGCCAAGTCGATGGGAGGACAAGGAGGGCCCAGGTCACTGGATGGAGGGGGGCGGTGGCGGGGGAGGAGAGACGCCCAGAGCACCTGCGAGCAAGCGCGGCCCCTGGTCGCCACAACCCCCGTGACCAGTGATGGAGCCGGGAAAGAGGGACGTTTCCGAGGGCCCAACGGGAGCAGCAGCCAAGACTGTGGGCCCCCGCGTGCCTCCGAGTGTGGGTTTAGTCCCTGGGAAGGCCGCGGCTTTCTCACCTCAGCACCAGGCAGGCCACATGTGGGCACCACAGCTGGGGAAATGCTCAGATGTCAAAACTTGGTTTCGTGTATTTTGATGTTTTTTCTCGCCTCGTTGGCTTTGGTTTTCTCCATTAAATGGAAAAAGTGTGTGTGTGTGTGTGTGTGTGTGTGTGTGTGTGCGTGCCCGCGTGCACATTTGTCTGGGGAAGTTTCCCAAGACCCATTCCCCCCCACGTGATCTTTGAACTGCAACAGCGCCACCTCGTGGCCACTGGGCTTAGTGCTCAGTGAAAAATGATGAATTTCGAAAAGACCAACATCATCATTTCTCATTACCTTCCGTCCTTAAATAAAACGCGAATTCCCATGCCGTGAATGCTAACTAGAATGCAAAATGTTAAGTGGCAGAGATGCTGTAAAATATGTATTATGAAATTAAGGGCAATCAGAGGCACAAATCTCCCTGCTAGATTCCACACAGCACCGTATGCCCCGCTGCCCGGCCTCTGACGGCTCCGGGAGGGGACCTCCCCCCGCCCCCGCCCCCCCCCCCCCAACATGAGCTTGCCCTGACCACTCCTCAGAGTGAGTGCCCTGGCAATGCTCGGAGCTTCTTCTAGCACTGCTTCTGGCACAGAGCCAAGTTGACGAGTATTCTAGGCACTGCCCCGTGGCTTCCACCCTCGTGTTCCTCGGTGAAACTCCTGGCGCCTGAAGCGACCCTCGAAAAGTACTCGGAGGGGCCTGGGCACTGTGGGGGCAGAGGGGCCCATCCTGTCCCCCGCCAGCGGGCGCTGAGATGACGGCGCTGAAGGGAGAGCTGCCATTCCAAAGCGGCCCTCCACCCCAGGCCCATCTGCATCTGGGGGTGCGCCAGGAGGGCTGCTGGAGTCGGGAGTGCTGGGAACCCAGGGCTCAGGGAGGGCCCCTGGCCCACGGGACCCTCCCGGGGGCTGATGGAGGCAGCGAAGATGTCAGAATTGATGCTGCAGCCGAGGACGTCTCTCCAGCTGTGCAGACCCTCAGAGAGCACAGGCTGTCCAGGGTCCGAGGGGCGGGTCTGCCCGCCCAGTCCCTGTGCCCACCCTCACCTCCCAACACACACTGGGCTTTCACTGGGGCTTGACTTTGGCAGGTTTCATGGCTTCACTGTGTGGGTCCCCAAGGGGGGGGGGCGGGGAATTCCCTTGGCACCTCCCAAAGGAAAACGCAGGTCCTAGGAAAGCCACATCAGGGAGGGGGAGAGCCCTCGGTGGCTCCAGGCGCCCCCACAACTGGGATCCTTCCAGCAGGAAGCCCAGTGACCAAGGGCAGAGACTGGGAGGCACTGGGAACGGGGGTCGGGGAAGGCAGGAGGGGAGGCAGAGGAGAGGCAGGAGAGGCAGAGTGGAGGTTGGGGGAGGCAGAGGGGAGGCAGGCTGGGGAAGCTGAGTGACCACTGCACTCATCTGGGAGGAACGCAGGCCAGAAGAGCCTGGAACACAGCTCTGGCGGCCCTCTGGTCTCAGGGAAGGGAGCTGAGGCCTCAGGCCGACCCTGCATGGGCACTAAGTGTCCAGCGGGCGGGAGGGACATGAGCAAGGCCGAAAACGGCTTGGCCCTGGGTGTGAAATTGAGCCCGAGGGTCTTCATGCTCCGGTCAGCCACCCTGGGCAGCAGAGGTGGGCTGCCGGGACTCGGTGTCCGCTCTGGACCAGCCCAGCCCGTAGCAGCAGACAGGCAGGACAGTGACCTGAGCAGCAGGCGGGCTGCTAGGTGCGGGGCTTCGCTGGTTACTGGGCGACAGAGGGCCGCAAGGCCACGTCTCCAGGCAGGGCCGCGCCTGGCCAGCACAGGCCTCCGGTCATGTTCCCGCGTGGCGTGGGGGATAGCCGCTGGGCGCGCACGGCCGGGCACTGAGGCCAAGGACACGGCCCGGGGCAGGGCGGGCGAACCCGGGCGGGGGCTTATCTGCCGGTGCCCCCCGCACTGGGGAGCCGAGAGGGTGGGTCCCTGCGTGAGTTCCGAGCCCCTCGCGTCCCTGGACAGTGGCCGGGTGTGACCCCCACTCCAGGGCCAGCCCGAGGGTCCCGCGGGCAACACGTGGCAGGTCACGTGGCTGCTCCCGTGTCATCCCCGCTGGCTCCGTCTTCGGCCGCGTCCACGGCCGCCCCCCCCCCCCCGTAGTCTCTCTATCCGTCCTGCATATGGGTAAACTGAGGCGCGAGCCCTCGCGCTGCCTCTCGCCTGGACGCCCCGGGCCGGGGCTCACCCGCTGCCCGGCTCCCCTGGGCCCTGAATCCCGACGGTTCTTCTGGACAGCTTCGCGACGCCGAGCCAGCACGTCTCCTGGGAGGGCAGGTCAGCCTGGACACGCAGCAAGCCAGGGCAGGGGCCCGGGGCCACCGCGCGCCTCTGACGTCATTTCCGTAGACCCCGGGCTCATCCTCCGGGGCCTAACCCCTGCTCACAGCGCGGCACGGCCCAAGAGCCTGGCCCCGGCATCCCCAGACGCGAGTGGGCCGGAGATGCTCGGGCTGCGAGCTCCTTGCCCCCAAGGGCCCCTCGGTAGTCGCAGCACAAGCCAGCCACGCCTTCCACCCGAGGCCCCGCCCACCCCAGGCCTGGCCGCGAGAGCCCCGCCCCCTAGAGGGCACGCCCCCGGAAGGCCCCGCCCACAAAGCCGGCTCCCTCTTCAGACTTCCTGAGGCCCCGCCCCTGCCGGGCCGCTCAGGGCCTCGCTGCAGGGCAGGCCCCGCCCACCGCGCCCCGGGAGGCCCCGCCCCCCGGGAACGCGCTCCTTCCACTTCCGACTTCGCCCAGAAGTGCCCGCCCCAACGCAGGCGTCTCTGCGGCCCCGCCCCACTCGTTCTTTCTGCCCACTTCCAGGGGAGACGCTCTGCCGGCCTCGGACTCCGCCGAGGCTCAGTCCTCCTCAGCTCTGAGGGTTCTCCCTGTCCTGTCCGGACAGCCCCGAGCGCCTCCGGGCCTGCGCCCCGCCTCTTCCAGCGAGCCCCACCCTCACCGGTCCCGGGCCCCGCCCCTTTTCTTCCCAGCCTGCCCCGCGCCCGCCCACCGCGCCCCGGGAGGCCCCGCCCCCTCCCTTCCCAGCCTGCCCTGCGCCGCCCCGCCCCGCCCCGCTTGCCCTCCGCTTCCCGGCCTGCCCCGCGCCCGGCCTGCCCCGCGCCCGCCCACCGCGCCCCGGGAGGCCCCGCCCCCTTCCTTCCCAGTCTGCCCTGCGCCGCGCCGCCCCGCCCCGCTTGCCCTCCGCTCCCGGCCTGCCCCTCGCCCGCCCTGCCCCGCGCCCGGCCTGCCCCGCGCCCGCCCTTCCAGGCCCGCCTCGTCCCTTCGCGGCCCGCCCCGCGCGCCTTCCCCTCCCGGCCTGCCCCGCGCGCCTCCCGGCCCCGCCCCTTCCCCTCCCGGCCCCGCCCCTTCCGCTCCCGGCCTGCCCCGCGCGCGCCCCGGCCCCGCCCCTTCCGCTCCCGGCCTGCCCCGCGCATAAACAGACATGGCCGGCGAGGGGGAGCCGCAGGACGCTGCGCACGACATGGGCAACCACCTGCCGCTGCTGCCCGGTAACCGCGGGGCGGCGGCGCCGGCGCGGGGGGCTGGGGCGGGGCGGCGCGCGGGTCCGGGTCCCGGGGGGCGCGCCGGGGAGCCGCCCGCCCGTCCCTCCGCGGTGCCCCCCGCCCCGGGTCGCCCGCCCGGCCCGACCTGCCGCGTCCCCGCGGGCCGTGCGCGGGCGGCTGCGCCCAGAGGTGCCGGTCGGGCCGCCGGGCCGTGGCTCCGGGCCCCGGAAGGGCGGGGCGGGCGGGCGGGGCCTCGCGGCGGCGGCCCTGGGGGTCGCTCGCAGGCGGGCGGGACCCCCCCACCCCATCCCCGGGAGAGCGGGCCCTGGGCGGCGGGAGGCCGGGGCCGGGCGCGAGCGACTGGCCGGCGGCGGGTTCCTCGGAGCGGGGCGGGGCGGGGCGGGGTCGCGGAGGGGTCCGAGACCCCCAGCCCGCGCCTGCCGCGACAGCCGGGACCCTCGGGGTCGCGGCGGGGCCGGAAGTGCAGCGCCCCGCCCGGAGCGCGGGGTCCCGGGCCCTGCTGGCCGGCCTGGTCTGTATTCTGTGTCTTGGTCTGTGTCTGTATTCCGTGTCTTGGTCTGTAACTGTGTTCTTGGGGGAACCGCGGGCGGCGGGCGGTGATCGGCCCCTCGGGAGGCGTCGCAGTGCTCTGTTGCCTCTAAGCCAAGCCAAGCCTCGGCCTTCGCGTGGGTGGGTGGGTAGGAAGTTCACGCAGCCCCCGAGTCGGAAGGGGCTTTCTTCCCCTTCCAGACTGAGCTGGGAGTGTGGGAACTGGCATCGTTTGGGGTTCAGAATAGATGGCACAAAGGAAAGAGCCCCGTTGCCTAAACGTTTGTCACCCGAGGTCTTTCTCTGGGGTGTTGGAAACCCGGGAGCTGGGAGGTCAGGCGTGAGACCACGAAACCCTGACGGCTCATGCAGGCCAGGCTGAAGGCTCTGTGGACGTGGACAGGGCTGTCCGGGCCCGGGGGCCGCTCTGTGGCCGTGGACAGGCTCACAACCCGCGCCTGCTGCGACAGCCAGGACCAGCTCCTTTCCAGGACATCTCCTGGGAGCAGGACCCTGCCCTGGGACAGGAGATTGCAGCCCGGCTGCATGCACTGGACCGGCGTGGGGCTCCCCGATCTTCACCCCTGTTTTTAGTTATGTCGTTGGTTTTTCTTCCCCTCCCCCCCAGATCTGTGTAGCTTTTATACAGTTAAGCGTAGAGAACAGTTTCTAAGATAAGTTTGTTTTTTTTCACATAAGCTTTAAAATTGCAAAGGAATTTTCATTTGAGAATTATTGCAGATCTCTCAGTTTCTGATTGTGTGCCAGCAACTAGGAGGAGGTGACTCGGGGGGCATCGGACGGGAGGGGGGTGCTGGGGCCAGGTGGTGTCCGTCTTTGTCCGTTCCAGTGAATGGATCTTCCCTCCCTTCGTCTCTCCCCTGTTCCTGCCTCGTACCCTCTGTGGGGACTCTTTACTTGGGGTTTCTTTGCTCCAGCCCGGTGGCCCTCAGGCTTTCCTCCTGGCTCAGAGCTCGGATTACTTCCGGCAGTGCTTGGGGAGCTGCCATGGTGGGGAGCGAACTCTAAAGTCGAGCTTTGCAAAAACTTCAGCGATTGTCTGAGGAGGCAGGTGAGGGGGCTTGTCTGCACTCAGGATCCGTCTGTGTCTGTTGGAGGGCAGAAGCGGCTCCAGGCTGGAGGAGTTCGCGAATCCAGGATGGGTGTAGACTCTGTCCAGTGCCTGTTACCAAGGCGGGCAGAACCTCTCCCAGGAGCCTCCCGTGCAGTTGGGGGTAGTGGTGGGGACTCTCTGTTCACTTAAAGAAGATAGATGAGGAGTGAGTCATTTTTTTCTGGAAAGAGGACGCAGCAGGGGAGAGGGGAGTGGCAGTCGGCCATCTAAGGCTGGGAGTCTGCCGTTGTGACTTGCTTCCACAGAGTAGAGTGTAAATGGGAAGAAGAAAAGAGCTTTGTGTGTGTTTTTGTGCCCTGCCCTCTGTGATGTGAGGTGCTCCCAGAGTGCCTCTGGGGCCAGAGCCAGCGAATGGGCACTCTAGTGCCTGGCCTGTGTCCTGGGTGGGCCAGGGAACAGCCTAGGGACGCCCAGGAGGGAGGTTTGCCCATCCTGTCCCCTCGTACCTCTCAGGAGTGGCGTGCACGCTGCAGCTGGAGATTCCCTGTGGTGAGTGGGCCCGAGGTAGACCAGACCCCATCGTCTTTGCATCCCAGCGAGAAATTTGCACTGTGCTGAGCCAGAGTGTCTCTAAACCATGTCAGGCAGGGCTGCACCAGCCCCGACCCGCTCGGGCTCTGGGCATTCCCGGTGTGGGGTTCGGACCCCACTTCCCTGCGACAAGTCGTCTTGGCATGAGGCGCGCCAACGTTTTCATGTGTCTGCTTTGTTTTTATTCTGCTTTGACAGCGGAGAGTGAGGAAGAAGATGAAATTGAAATGGAAATCGAAGACCAGGATAGCAAAGACGACAGGAGACCGAACATCATAAATTTTAACCCCAGTCTGCCAACAGCACATGCAGTATGTGATGCAGTAACAGATCTAACGTGACAGAAGAACTCTCTTGCAGTGCCCGGCGCTGTGGCGGGTCTGGGCATTCCTCTCCCGGCAGGGCCGGTCCCTCTCGGGGAGAGGCCCTTGGGTTCTTGCTCCTGAGGAACTTTCAGAGCTCTGCATCGCTGGGCTGTTGCTGTTCTCGCATGTTTTAAGCATTCCTGAGATTTGAACAGAGTTGTTTCTCAATCAGAATTTTTTTTCCTTTTTGGGTCACACCCAGCGATGCACAGGGGTTACTCCTGGCCCTGCACTCAGGAGTTACTCCTGGCGGTGCTCGGGGGACCATATGGGATGCTGGGAATCGAACCCAGGTCTGCTGCGTGCAAGGCAGTCACCCTCCCCGCTGTGCTATCGCTCTGGCCTCTCAGAATCTTTTTAACTAAAAAATTGCTCTTGCGGTTTTTCGTGCTGGGAAGTCCCGAGTCCGGTTCCGTGTCTGTGGGGGGGGCCGGGCGGCGGGCAAGCGGCTTCCCCCACGCCCCGTGACTGCTCCGCTCTCCCCCCAGTACCTGGGCGCTGACATGGAGGAGTTCCACGGGCGGACCCTGCACGATGACGACAGCTGCCAGGTGATCCCCGTGCTCCCGCAGGTGGTCATGATCCTCATCCCCGGCCAGACACTGCCGCTGCAGCTCTTCAGCCCACAGGAGGTGAGCATGGTGCGGAACCTGATCCAGAAGGACCGGACCTTCGCCGTGCTCGCCTACAGGTAAGCGCCTGCCACTCACCCGGCCCTGGGCGCCGCCCGGCGTCACACTGAGCTCAGGAGTGCGAGGCTGATGTTTCTGTGGGAATTTTATAAGCGGAGATCCGAGTGGTTTTGTTCTGTCTCTACCATCTAAACGCTGAGACTTGACCTTCCCCTGGGGGAACTTTGTCGTATTTGAAATACTGTTATTCGTTAACATTTAACAGAAAGCATGTTTAGAGTCCTGATTTCAACTATGTTGATTGAAAGTGTGGGGGGCTTTTGCATTATAATGTAGACAATTACTTTTACAGAAGAGGGGCTTTTTCTCCTGCTGGTAAATTCCCAAGTCGTTCCATTCCAGACCCGTGGTCAATGGAAACTGAGTTTCTGTGTCCTGTAGTGGCCAGCCGAAATCAGTATTCAGGCAGGAAGTGCACGCAGAAAGTTCCCACCCCAGAACGATGTGACTATTGAGCAGGGCAATGATGTTTGGCTTCACAGTAAAGCCCGCTGGTTCCACGATCATTTTCAGCGACTAGAGTTTTATTCTTTTTCAAACGTGTCCTAATTGCACTGACCCATGTTTTCTTCTTTAAATTGCCCTGTGTGTGTTTAGAGTAAAGGAAGTAATAGTTCTTCAATGAGTTGATGTTATAAATTGTTTTCCCATGCATACTGCTTCTGCAAATCTGCATAATTAAAAAATTAACGTTGAAAATGTTTTCTTTGGAAATCGCCTTGGAAGCAATGCCCAGGAGAGAGAGGCGCAGTTTGGCACCACAGCGGAGATCTATGCCTACCGTGAGGAGCAGGATTTTGGGATTGAGATAGTGAAAGTGAAAGCCGTCGGGAGACAGAGGTTCAAAGTCCTGGAGCTCAGGACCCAGTCGGACGGGTAAGACCCGCGGAGTCGCCGTGTGAGCTGGACGGTCTCGCCTCCCGCTGGCCCCTTCTCTGCCGCGCTCCTCCCTTCCGAGGTGTAGCCGGCAGGACGCCAGCTTCATGGGAGACACCGGGGAAGTTTGCAGACTTGAAACTCTCACTCCACACTCCCACTCCATCCCTGGAAGGGTTTTTCCGGGAAGGAGGCTGCAGCATCTTTTGGAAGGGGTTCCTGGTCGTTCTGGGGTGTCCTGAGCTTGTGGACAGTGCCTGAGGCCTGGAGGGAGAGGCCGTCTGCTCTGGACCCTCGCCTGCCACTGTGCAGAGCCTGCGGCCTCCAGCCACTTCCTGCCAGCTGTGCCTGGCAGCCTGTCTGTGGCACTGGGAAGAGCGTTCACTGCCCCTGCCAGTGGCTGTCTTCAGGGGATGTTCTACCAGCCACGAAGCCCTTCCTCCCTCAGCAGGGCCAGAAACGCCACCCTCGCATCCTCAGGGTCCAGAGGCCCGCGGGGACACTGCGGTAGCATGGGCAGCGTGGCCCTTTGGGCCTGGCCCTTGTTCTACGAGTGTGGGGAGGACTGGGTTCGTTTTCTGAACACAGGAAGTAGTTTTTCTTGATGATTGCTCCTTATCTCTTGGGAGTGGTTCTAGTGGTGGCACTAAGAATGTCCTTAGAGATAGTGACTCTTGAGTTCCAGTGTGTCCTGGTGAGTTGTCACTTTCCTGTAGCCAGAGCCGCCAGTCAGACCTGCGTGCTGCACCGGGAGCGTCTTCTGAATGCAGGGAAGGGCAAAGGAGGTCCGAGTTCTGAAAATGATGTTCTTGCATGAAGGCGAGACCTTTCGGCCTCTGCTAGTCACGAGGCAGCAAGTATGACTGAGACAGAAACTCCGGCCAGGCCGTCCTTTGGACCCTGAGGGTGGTTCTGAGGACCGGGCTGAGGTTCGGGCCCCGGCCCTGCACTGCACGCCCAGGGCGTTATGCGAGGCCTTCCGGCTTGAGCATGCCGGGAGTCAGTGTCGGTTGGGCGGACCAGCCCTCAGAACAGACGTGACACTCCCGTCTCTCAGCCCTCGGGTCTCCAGTGGGTAGGACTGAGTGACAGCAAGGTTAGCAAGTAAGCAGGCGGCGTTGCTACCGTGACTTTACCAGCAGTGTCCACTTTAAATGCCTCCTGACTTCATGCTTATCTGATTTTGGCTGTTTGTTGATTGCTGTAAAAACCTGTAAAGGAAAATTGATTTAGGGAAAAGTGTCAGAGACTTGATTAAAACCAAGTCCTTGGAACACCAGGCGACAGCACACTGCTGCCTGCGAGGGAAAGACTGGCATCACGTTGGTAGGGCTGGGCGTATGGGACAGGCCGTGGTCTGGCATTGCGCTGGTAGGACCTTCAGAGCCCGCCAGGGAGAGCGAGCGGCAGGGGTGAGGGAAGAGCTCGGGGCAGGCTCATGCGGCCCCTCTTCTTCCCAGGAAGGAAATGGAGCTTTAGGGGAGTGATCTGTTTGGCACCATTTAGCTAGGTGCTTGGTTCTCGGTCCTGGGACTTCCAAATGAGGGGTCTTTCCGCCACAGCAGCTTCCTCGATGCATCTGGAAGCTTCTGTCGGTTTCCTCCTTTTCAGTAAAGCAGTGCCAGGTTAACAGTCATTTGTCCTTTATGTAAGTGACCATACATAAAAGTTCACTGATGCCTTCTAAGAGTCTTTATTTCTTGGCCAGCTTCTAATAAACACTTGAGCTTTTAAAAAATTTTCTTTTTCTATAGGTGAAGCTTTATTATTGTTGGGCTCTTGAAAAATTCCTGAGTATCGCTTGACAGACTTAACTCTGTAGTAGAGTAATATACTGTTTTTTCTTTAAAAATATGATTGCAAGTTCTTATGTTGACGTGCTAGGTAAAGAAAATTGAGGTATTTATTTTTAATGATCATCGATTTGCTCGAGCGGGCCCAGTAACGTCTCCATTGGAGACTTTGTTGTTACTGTGTCTGGCATATCGAATACTCTCGGTAGCTTGCCGGGCTCTCCGAGAGGGGCGGAGGAATCGAACTCGGGTCGGCCATGTTGGCTGCGTGCAAGGCAAACGCCCTACCACTGTGCTATCGCTCTAGCCCCATTCCTCCGCCCCTCTCAGAGAGCCCGGCAAGCTACTGAGAGTATCTCGTATCTCGCCCGCACGGCAGAGCCTGGCAAGCTCCCCGTGACGTATTCGATATGCCAGACACAGTAACAACAAAGTCTCAATGGAGACGTTACTGGGCCCACTCGAGCAAATCGACGAACAACGGGAGGGCCTTTACCTTTACCTTTACCTATTTTTAATGAGCTCTAATAATACAAGAAAAGAGGAGGAAACTGATGTGTTTGGAAATACAGAAGAAATCCTTTTTATTTTTTATGATAATTGAGACCAGTAGCTGTCAGTCAAAAGAAATTGGAACTGGAAATCCCAAAGTTCCACACGTACACTAGAAATACCTGATAAACACCTGGCAGGAGGTGGGGGGTTGGGCCACACTGGCTGTCCTCAGGAGCTGCTCCTGGCTCTGCACTCAGGGATCGCCCCAGGAGGGCTCGGGAACTCCATGCCGAGGCTCAGACTCAAGTCAGCTGATGCAGGGCACAGCCCCTCGCTGCCGTGATTCTAGCTCCTAGAAACAAAAATTCTTGACAAATTCTATGAAAGAGCTGGTTTTTCGAAAAGATCGGTCAGTTGATTTTTAGATAGATCTGTGAAGGAGGGGAAATACTCATAGAATTAGAAATTTAAGAGAAATCCGATAGAGAGGTATAGGAGGCTACGATAAGTAACACCATAACGACACATTGGTTAACCCACAGAAACTCAGATAAATGCAACAATCTTCAGCTGAAACAGGAGAAGTGATAGAACCTGACTCATGACCCAAGCATGCAGACGGAGAGTCATGGCACTAGAGGCCGGAGAGATGGCACAGCAGGTAGGGCGTTTGCCTTGCACGTGGCTGAGTTGGGTTCCATCTCCGGCATCCCATGTGTCCCCCCCAAGCCCTGCTAGGAATGATTCCTGCGCATCACTGGGTCTGGCCCCCAAACAGAAGGGAATTAATAAAGCTTCCCAAAATAATAGTTCTGGAGTAGTGAATTGGCTTACCAGTGAATTTTGCCAATTTTCAACCAACCTAAGTCTGTTCTTCTCAGGCTCTTTGAAAAAAATCAAAGAAGGAATAATTTCAAGTATATTTCATGAGGTCAGCATTACCCGGATACCACATAAGCTAGACGGGGCTTCTCTGCTTCCCCCCCTCCCCCCCCCACCGGAGTATCTCGATGAACATAGCTGCACACATCCTCAACACAGTATTTCCAAATCAAACTCAACAATGCATCAGAAGATCATACATTATGAATAAGTACAGTTTATTGCGTGGGTCCAAAAATGCTTCAGTAAGCAAATCAATCAGTAATATAGTAGTTATCAATTAAAAACAAAGGCGAAATGATTTTAAGTAGATGCTGAGAGAGCATCTTAAAATTCTCAGTGTGCTCTTCTGCTGTCTCAGTGGGACAGGAGGAGCGTCTCCACCTAAGAGTGTCGTGTACAGCTGAGGTGAGGCAGGGGAGAAACAGCTCGCTCTCTTTTTCCAAGAACAAGACTGTGAGCTTGGAAACTAGAGCACTTGGACAACATGAAGACCGGCAGGTAGCGAGACTAATTCCTGGCGTGTGTGACTTGGATACAGACAGGGAGCCAGAGGTCACCCGTGTGACCTGAGCTGAGGGTGCCCACATCAGTACAGGCCTTGGGCCTGTAAACTTGGATCTGTGGCACTGTTTGACCTTGTGGTGTGGCTGGGATTGGCCCTGGTGGTCCCCAGCAGAACTGTAGGTCCATTTGGCAGAGGATGGGCCGGGCAGGCCTCTGGCTCACGCACACAAATGAAAACAAAAGTCAGTAGAAACTCACACGTGGCAGAAGTGGCTGGTTACAAAATCGACTTACGAAAGATCAGTTTGCAGTTAATGGAAAAAAGAAAGAGGTGAGAGACCTTGTAATGTAGACTCCACAGCACTGCTCAAGAAAGCACCGACGCGATGAAGAGGGAGACCCAGACTTTCCAGGTCTGTAGTGAAAAGACCTCCTTACCCACGCAGCAGAAAGATTCAGTGCAACCCCGGGCACAATTCCAGTTGGTCGTGTAGAAGGGGATTTTCTAGTATCAATATGGAATCAGGAACGTTCTCAAGGAGCCGTGACAGTCGTGGCGAAGCAGCAGTAATTGAGGCTGAGGGAATAGAAGTGGACCCCAGTCTGCGTGTGGGCCTGAGCGCGGAGGCTTGGCACGGCGGGTCGGCAGTACAGAGTCTGAGGCGGGAGTGGGGAGAGCAGGGCCCCTCGAGGCAGGCCTGGAGGCGGCTACTGGACAGCTGTGAGTTCAGAATGATCGCGGTCTCAGCGGTAGAAGTCGGGCTGGGGTTGAGGACAGGAGGAGCATTTCGGAGACATCACACTTGTCTTTGACTCCAGCAGTAAGAAAAAAATGAAAGCGAAGGCGAACTGTTGTGCTACATTGTATCCAGTGGCTTTTGGTGGCATCCGTTGGGAGAATATTGTCTGCACCTCATCTGTCTAGTGAGAGGCTGATGCAGGGTACAGCAAAGGGCAGGCAGGTGTGAGCGCTGACAGGGCTGCAGTTGGTTCACGGGCAGGGGATCAGCAGGGAGACGCGCACGGAGGCCCCAGCTGCCTGAGAAGCACAGGCTCCCAAGCAAGCGTCGGAGGGCATAGACAGAACTTGAGTGCACGTTGGAACGTTTGTAAGTGGGTGCGACCGTTTTGGCAGAACTCGAGCTTTCTGGGGAAGCAGGGCCTCCGGGCCACCTTCAGGTGTCTGCCCAAACCCACCCGAGTAGGCGTCCACGCCAGCGTTTGCTGCAGCAGCGTTCCCAGCAGGTAAGACAGGGAAGTCTTAGGTGCGGGTAAAGGCCCGGTGTGGTTCTGCAGTGGAGTACTAGTCAGCTCTGCAAAAGGCAGCTGCATTCCAGTCGCAGCTGAGTGGCAGGAGTGGCCTCGATCCTTCACAGGACGAGTCCATGTGAGTCTAGAAGATTATGTTATTCGGACCCAAGCGAAGGATCAAGGCAGGGGTCAGATCATTTGGCAGTGTGTTACAATGGAGATACAGAACGGATGAAAGGGTCAGTAAGGGAGTGGACGCTCATGGCCAGTCGGGCTGCCTGGAAGGGGAGAGGGGAGGAGTGTAGAGACACGTTTACTGTCGTTGAGCCCTGAGGGCACTGGGATGTTTTTCAGTTTTACCTGTTTGTTCCTAATGCCCAAAGCCATGTGGTCGTGAGTCTGAGCTTGTGGGCTGGAAAGGAGTTGGTGGAGCGGTTCCAGTGTTGCCTTCGCTGTCAGAAGGCCAAGTGCCCAATTTCATGTCGATGCTCAGGAGGGCCTCGGGTTGGGGCTTCCCATCCGGCAGCGTCTGGATGGCACCTCATGAGAACTAAGACTCTTCAGAACAGCCCATCATACAAGAGGATTGGGTATTTGCAATTAACGGTGATCCCGAAAAGCATTCTGGAAATACTAAGTATATTTGTGAGAGTTAAAGTTTTTACGTAAAAGCAGTATTCCATTTGATTCTTTGCTTATCGACGTTAAATGATACGTTGTGAGCAGGGAAATGTTACATGCAGCTCTCTAGTCTGATCTGAATTCATCTATGTGAAAGGGCTTCGCTTGTCTTCTCTCTGCTGCTCCTCAGGTGACCTGGGGCTGGGGTGACGTCATGCTCACAGGGTTTGGGAGACTGAGGGTACTTCGGGGTGCCCAGAAATTAATTCATGATACCAAGATTCACAATAGGAGTGGTTACCAGATTTTCAATTTCATTTTACTTTTTTATTTGAAATGTAAAACTCCCTAATCATTCTATTGTGAGATTGAAAATTTATTCTATCATTTATCTTTGCTATGATTTATGAGCTATGATATTGTTTCTTTAAAAATTGAGTATGAATGTCAGCATTTCGATGAGTATGTTTTTTAAGATTTTGGAAATCATAGTATTTAAAGTTACCCATAATGCTTAGAAACGTAATAGTTGGAGTTAGCATATCTTGGAAAATGAACGCCATGCTTGGTTCTCTTTATTTTAGAATCCAGCAAGCTAAAGTGCAAATTCTTCCTGAGTGCGTATTGCCGTCAACCATGTCTGCATTTCAGTTAGAGTCCCTCAGTAAGTGCCAGATATTTCCTTCAAAACCGCTCTCATGGGAAGACCAGTATTCATATAAATGGTGGCAGAAATACCAGAAGGTGAGAAATGAATTTTTTATGCATCCTCATAAAATGAAGACAGGTTGCTTTTTCCTGTTTTTAAAAGAGAGACAAACAACTCTCGTGATTCATTCCCCAGACACCTTCTGTGGCGGTTCTTCGGCTGCATTTGATCATAGCTGGTACTTCTAAAAGTGTCCTAACAGCTATTCTGTAAAAGCGGTTTGCAAGAGTCACGAAATGCCAATACATAAAATGTGTTTGCTCTGACGCCTGTTGACCTATTAATAGCTTTGATGTTTAATTCTACAGGAACCTGCCGGGCTCCATCAGCTCCCTGGGGTGGCTCGTCACTCACAGACACGGACCTTGAAGGGAGGGTGTGGGTGACGGGAGTCGAGTGGGCCAAGCCCAGCTGCTGAGAGGCGTGCCCCGTTCACCGCTCAGAACTGGGCGCCACTTACAGTCGTGCCTGTCTGAGCGCTCGTTCTCCGTGCTCTGGGGTAGAGCTCTCTTCTAGGACCAAGATGAGAAAGTCTCTGCTCATTTGTGAGATACGACACTTTAAACGAACTAGCTGATGCTTGTTGTTGTCTGGAGGAAAGGGTGACTCACTTCTAACTTCAGAATGAATTGTTTTCTTTGAGATGTTGGGAAATACGAAGGCACATTTTTCCATTTTAACCTGAGAATTCCTGCGCTAGTCATCTCTTAATCTTTGTTAGGCAGGATAGCAAAGGATTAAATTGTAGTACAAATGAGCGTAGGACACTGATCCAACCCTGGGTGGCGGATTCTTCCAGGGCCTCAGAGCCCTCCTACGTGAGTTCTAATGGTTGAGACTGTCTGTCAGAGGACTGCAGAGGCCCAGGCCACGGCTGGCTTCCTCTCAGCGGCATGGTATGGGTTCGAGTCCCCCAGAGCAGATTCTGATAGCAGAGTGTGCCTGGACGGCTCGGGGTCCTGTGCCCTCTGATTGGTGGCTGTTTGTGGGCCCCCACGGCCGTGGGGTGCTGCTTGAGAGCGACACTTCCAGAACCTGGCCCCTGATTTCAGCACTGGGAAGAGGGAGAACTGCCGTGTGCGCGTAACTGTGAGTCAGGGGGTGAGGGTGGCCCTGGCGCGGCAGGAGCGGAGCAGGGGGTCCCGCGCGGGGGCTGCCCAGTGTCTTCCTGCCTCTGTCGGGGCGGTTTGCTGTCTTCAGCTCGATTCAGCGATCGTGTTAGGCTCTTCCCCAAGGTTTCTGTCCTAAATTCTTAGTCCTTTAAAGGTGCTGCCTTCGTTCTTTGTCACGTTCTCAGCAGAGGATGAGTATGCTGACATCAGTCCCTGCCCAGTCCTGAATCTGCGTCTGCCCATGAGTCAGCTTTTGAAATGTCAGTTTTGTGTGAATCATGGATTAAAATCGTAGTGCTGTCCGTGCGCAGCCCCTCTGCTTGCTCACGCTGACTCGAGATCAGTCTTTACCCCCGGGTCTTCCCTTCCCAAGCGCAAGGGTAGCCGCAGCTGCCAGTCGCCAGTGAGCACTTGTCTCTGTGGGACCAGATTCTCGAAGCTCTCCTGATTGTCTTCGTTCTCCATTGATCCTGGAATCCCGCACCAGGCCTCTGATTTTCAGTCACAGTTGCCAAAGACTGAGGAGGCGTTGGTGAGGAGTGAGAGGCCTTGGGGGAACGTGGTGCCCACCGCCCTCGCCCTGTTGATTCCGTCAGACCGTCTTTCAAAGGTTCCCCTGTTTAAGCTCTGAGTGGAGTTTTTTTAGTTGTAAGTTTGAATAGAGATTGCGAGGCCCAGGGAGTTGCTGTCTGAGCCCTCGGGCCTCTGGGTGACCTCCGAGCTGTTTGGTGTCAGTCCCAGGAAGGGCTCAGGGCAGCAGCACTGCCCCGGGGTGCCTGAGCCCCCCTGCTGAAGCACCCTGGGAGTTGTGGGATTCTGAAGTGCATGGGGGAGCTGCCAGGGAGCTCCCATCTCAAAGGTGGACCTTAGTTTTGTACAAACCTGCCTTTCTGTTTGCATCAAAAATGAAATGTCCAAACGGCATCGAGTTCCTTGTCTGAGAACGTGTTTCTGTACCTTCCCGACAGCAAGGGAAGCCCGAAAGGCGTCGAGAAGGGCCTTCATGCTACGTTGGCATGGAGCACCACCAGGGTCAGGGCGTGGACATCTGTGACATGCTTGTAGAACTTTAGAGTTCTGATAGAATTTCAGGGTGCCCAGGACCTGAGCCTGCAGCTGCTTCATTCACGGGGGCAGTGCTGCCCTCTACCCGTGTCCCCTGCCTGTGCCCTGCAGCCATCTCCCGGTGTCTGCATGCCTGGGTGCCAGGGCCCCTCCCACTACGGCTCCAATGGCCATGCACGTGTGCCCATGTGCTGCTTGGGTCTGGACCTGGGCCCCTCGGAACAGTTCGTCCTGGCCGTGCTAGGCGCCAGGCTCCCTCCCCTGGCCTTGTTCGCTCTTGTGAGCTCCGGTGGGTGGGCGCAGGACCAGGACAAGCGCAGCGCGGCCACCCCTTCTGAGCCATGCCCAGGCTTTGGATGGCTCCTCGCCTTCACGGCGGGTGGTGCCCTTCCCCATGGAGACTTCCACGGGCCTCGAGGCTGACAGAGGCAGTTCCGGTGCCGGACACAGGGGCTCGCTTCCCGGGTTCAGCGTGCAGAGACGTGACAGCCGCTCCTCGTGGGCTGGCTGCTCAGAATGACTGTGACCTGTGCATGTGTGCTGAGACCGTCTGACCGTGACCTGCACCCGTGCTCGGAGACTGACTGTGGTCCGTGTGCGCTGAGACTCCCGACATCTCAGGCAGCTCGCCCCTTAGGGTCAGACAGAGCCCAGAATTCACACAAGGGAACCCACTGGTTTGCACTGGCCTTGCAGGACCTTCTGTCCTTCTCAGGTACCAGCTGCTGTCCATTCGGCACACAGGAGCCAGGCCCTGCAGGGCAGCTCCCCACAGGCGTCCCCGATGAGAGCGCCCGACTGAGCACGACGTGGATGTGGTAGCTGCTGCTCTGAGTCCAGACTGCCCATGTTCCTGCTCGGGCTCACAGGGAGTGGAGGGGCTCGCTCCAGCCCAGGGTCCCCTCCACAGTCTGCCACCAGCCTAGGAGGGCCCTTCTTCTCGTCCGTCAGTTGCCGGCCTTCTTCCAGTCCGGGCCAGTCCTCTGTTGGGAAGCGCCCTGGGGTCCCATAGGCTGTCAGCCTTGTCCACTGTGCTGTGTTGGCACCCCGGGTGCTGGGTCTCTAGGTGGCCAGGGGGTTTCCAGCTTGTTGTCAGTGATGGCACTGCCGAGTGGATCCTGTCACATTGTCATGTCGTGGAGAATATGTCTGTTTCCTGGCTTTCGTGTTTGTTCTAGATGAATTCTACATTGACTTTCAGTTCCAATATTGCGGTGAACTTTGAAAAGTAGGCTTGCTTCTGAGTCTTCCCATCAGATGTTGCAGAAATTTAATATAACGCACGTTTTACATGGATTTAGATGCCTCCGTTTGGATCCCAGAATACAGTGGCGGGGGCGGGGGCAGAGCTGTAGTAGGTGGTCGTGTGCTTGCCTGGCACGTGCCCATCCCACGCTGGGTCCCTGTCACCGCCGTGTAGTCCCTGAGCCCCTCCAGTGGTGATGCCTGAGGCGCAGAGCCAGGAATAGCTCTGAGCACTGTTGGGTGTGACGCAGCCCAACCCACTCCAGTCTCTCCCCCCCCCCCCCCACACACACACACAGACACACACACAGAGTTGGAAGAGAACATAATGGTTTTCCCCATTGCCTGGACATCAGGGAAAAGGGAACTTGAAGAAATTTGGAGAGCCCTTCCGAGTTTTCACAGTCTAGAGTCATAGTTACAGAGTCGCCCTGGGCCTGCGGGGCTGGCACCTGCCGCAGTCTCCTGCAGATGCACAGAATGGTAGCATTATCCTGGCGAGGGAGTCCAGGCCGTCTGGGCAGTGTTTGAGCCGGAGAGCACTTCCCTTGAGCATCTCTGGCCCTGAAAAAAGAGTCTTTGTCTGAACCAAGCCGTGTGCCCCCTTGTTATTCTTCCCGCAAGAATCTTGTTCTGTGGGGTGTTTAACCGACTCTTTTCTCTTTTCAGAGAAAGTTTCGTTGTGCAAATTTGACACAGTGGCCTCGCTGGCTGTATTCCTTGTATGACGCGGTAAGTTCCATTCGGTGTCCCGGGGAGGAAGACTCCTAGGGTGCTCGGTTAAAGCAGGCGGGGCTAGAGGCAAGCAGTGTAACTCGCCTTTCATTCTACCCTTCGTAGGGGCATCACACCTCGGTATCGAGAGACTGTGTAGGGTTTATTCGGCTTCTGAACTTGGTGCTCAAGGGGTAGTTCCGTGTAGAAAATCAGGCCCCTGCGTTTTCGTTAGGTCTCGTGACCCCTCGTTTGTGCGTTAGCTGACCCGTCCACACGTGCTCTTGCTGCTCACCCTGGGGGACAGGAGTGGCCGCATACTGTCGCACCTAAGGGACGTGCTGCTGGCGTGGTCCAAAGAAGCCACATTTGGGAAAGGCGGTTCAGAAGGCCTGTTGGTCATTGTGCATTGGGGCAAGTTCTCCGGAAAGCTGTGAAGTGGGCGTCAGGCAGTTGCATTGACCCAGAGTAGCCGTCCCCAACCTGAGCGTCCCTCGGGCCCTCCCGACTCGCCTTCCCCGCACATCCGGAGCTGCAGGAAGCTGCTTCCCTCTGCCCAGCAGCCGTTGGCCCGTCACCATCCTCTGTGACCCAGAGTTCTGCCGACACTTCGGCCAAGATTGTCCACAGCCTGGGTGAGGAGTTGCCGGTGAAGGCGCTCGGACAGACGGACAGACGACGGAGGGCGGGTGGGCATCACGCAGCTCCGAGTCAGAAGGGAGTCGGGGCCGGGAGGCAGCGGCAGGCGCCGGGCAGGAGAGCTCAGCACCTGCGTCTGTGTCATCAGACGACAACTGTCAACTCCTGAACCTGATTCTGGCTCCTCTTATTTTAAACAAGGAAACCTTAATGGATAGAATCAAGAAGCAGTTACACGAGTGGGATGAAAATCTGAAAGATGAGTCGCTTCCTTCAAATCCAATAGGTATGAAAAGCCCTTTCTGTTCTGCAGTCTGCTATGCGTCACCAAAGGATACTCGCTTTACGTTCAGTGAAATAAAAATCTAGTCTTTTCAGTACCGCTGTTCTGAAAGGCGTGCCTGTTTCTTCTGCTCTGAGGAGTCGTAAAAACGAGTGCGTGAGCTCGCAGGTAGTTGCAGGTGCTCCTCCAGCCCAGACAGGCCCAGGTGCGAGGCTGTGCGTTCCCTGCCGGGAGCGACACGGAGCATCTCCCCTGGTGGGGGCGCTGGCGTAGGGCTGGGGAGAGAATCCACACGTGGGGGTGATCCCCACACGGTGCCCATGACCCACCCTGGCCGAGCGTTACTTCGGGTCGCCAGAGGTCCCTGAGCCCGAGCATTTATCGAGGCCAGCTGCGCGGGGGGTGTGGGCACAGCAGTCACGGTGGGCGCTTCTACCCGACTCCGGGTCTAAAAGGTGAAAACCCCGCCGTGTCTAAGATTTCTCTTACAGAGTAGCGGCCTGTCTTCCTATCGACGATGTGCTGAGAATTCAGCTTCTTAAGATCGGGAGCGCCATCCAGCGGCTGCGCTGCGAGCTGGACATCATGAACAAGGTGAGAGAGCGGTCACCGCGCCGTGCGGCCGGTGTGGGGCCCTCGGGGGACTCGCATTTCGGCAGCTGGCCCTGGGTCAGGTGGAGCACCGGGGTCGCTGGCCGGGCATGTGCCCTCCCGGGCAGCGCTTTGCTTCGTCTTTGGGAGGTCCCTGCAGGGACGTAGCGGGGCTGTTCCCTGCATGACGAAGGGACTCGCTTGATTGGCGTTTTCATTCTTTTTTTCTTTTATGTTTGTCTTTTTGGTTTTTTTTTTATTTTTTTCATTTTTTATAATTTTACTTATTGAATCACCGTGAGAGCAGTTACAAAGCTTTTGGGTCTAAGTCTCGGTCATACAATGAAACACCCATACCTTCACCAGTGCCCATTCTCCACCACCCAAAACCCCAGTATGCCCCCCTCCCACACCCTCCCCCTACCTGTGGGGCAGATGATTTCCACATTACTCTCTTTCTACTTTGATCACATTCAGTATTTTGACACCAGACCCACCATTATTATTTGGTATTTTACCCCAACACTCAGATCTGCTGAAAAGGCAACAGTAGACAATTTGTGTTCTATTGCTGGTTATGAATAACATATGATGTCGTGTGGCTGCAGTATGGCCATGCGATTTTGAAATTCTGAAATTTTAACACTTAAGTCTGGAGGGATTTCTGCCAAAAGCCACTGGGTTTCGAGATTTGCTCCTGAGTCTCTGGGATCATGGCCGTTGAGAAGCTTGATGAGGAGCCAGAGAGGCCGTTCATTGTCGATTACTTGGGGTCTCGGGGTGGGGAGGACAGGCCCGGCTCCACTCCATCCCGTGAGGCCCAACAAGTTTTGTCACTGCGGGCCCAAGCCTGACTGTCCAGTGGCCTCTGGAGGATGACGGCCACCAAGCCGCCAAGGAGGGAGCAGGAGGAGGGACAACACCCTTTCTTCCCTGGGGTGGCCCGGCGACAGTAACGTACTTTGGGGTCCAGATGCATTTCTGCCAAAAGCCACTGGGTTTTGAGATTTGCTCCTGAGTCTCTGGGATCATGGCCGTTAAGCAGCTTGATCAGGAGCCAGAGAGGCCATTCGTGGGCGATGACTTGGGGTCTCGTTGGGGTGGGGAGGACAAGCCCAGCTCTACCGCCATCCTGTGAGGCCCTGTGTGTCTTGTCACTGGGGGCCCAAATGTGACTATCCAGTGACCTCTGAAGCATGGCGGCCACTGGGCCGCCGGGGGAACAGGCCAAGGCATGAAACTTATTCCCACCTGGGTTGGCCCAGCACCGGTAGCCTACTGCAGGGACCAGACGCATTTCTACCTAAAGCCGCTGGGTTCCGAGATTCGTTTCTGGGTCTCTGGGATCATGGCCATTAAGCAGTTCAATCAGGAACCAGAGAGGCCATGCCTCCAATTATATAGCTGAGCCGGAGGTGGTTTGTGGGTGTGTCTCCCGCATACCTAACTTTTGGCTGTTTACTTTCTTGGTAAACTTTGCCCCAAGTTTTTGGGGTCTGGCCAAAGGCACAGCAGCAATTTTGGGGTATCTGGAAGTCTGAAGGCGCCATGAGGCTGCTGATGCACTCGCCTCACAGGTACAGATTGACCTGCTGGCGGCACCATACCTCCCCGATCGGTGTTTTCTTGCCAGTTCTTTCTTGACATTTAGAATTACGTTTTGAAACAGTTGAAGGAAAAAATATAACATTTTAGAGAAATTTCTTAAGATATTTAATGTTTTCTAATTTTCCTAAACTTTTTAGTGCACATCTCTTTGCTGTAAACAGTGTCAAGAAACAGAAATAACCACCAAAAATGAAATATTCAGGTAAGACCTTCCATTACATTTTGAGTGTGCTTTGGGATACTTCCTGGCTGCCTGATCGAATCTCTTCAATGAGTTCTGGGAGCGAGCCTAGCCTGCAGGACATGGAGGCCCAGGGTGGGTTCCCTGACCCCCACACTCAGGAGGGGCCCTTTCGGCACTGCCGTCAGAAGGGAGGCGGGCGCGTTTGCAGGCCTCGGGTCACCCTGACAGCCTCCTGGGAAATCCTGTCGTGGTCTCAAATGGAGAGTTTAGAGCTAACACATCTCCCGGTGAGACTGACCCTGTTCCTTTTTGCCGTAGCTTATCCTTGTGTGGGCCGATGGCGGCCTACGTGAACCCTCACGGCTACGTGCATGAGACACTCACCGTGTACAAGGCCTGCAACCTGAACCTCATTGGCCGCCCGTCCACGGAGCACAGCTGGTTTCCAGGGTGAGCGAGACGGGGGCCGCCGGGGGCCAAAACAGCGGCTAGAATTAAAGCTGGACAGAGAGGAGGGCGGGAGAAACCAGACTGCAGCTCGGCCTTCATTTGTGGGTGTGTAGAAATAGCACGTTAGCCTCTAGTATCCTCGAGTTAGTGAGGAGGAAGCATGGCGACTGTGAAGGGCCTCCGATCACAGTAAGTGCACACTCAGGCCTGTGCCAAGGGACGCCGGGCCGCTGAGCTGGGACAGTCAGCTCCTCGACACCTAGTGGCTCTTTGCTCCCAACTTTCAGAGGCCAGTTCAGGGACCAAGGCGAGGAGACCCTCTCTATGGGCCTCTGGCCACACCAGTGATTACGGCTCCTCTTAACAGTGCTCACTGAAGCACTGGCCTTGCATATGGTCCCTCGGGTGCCAACAGGAGGAGCCCCCAAACAAGCAGTGACGATCTGAGAGCTGCGTGTTCACAGGTGGTTGCTACTTTCTCGGGCGATGCGGGATACGGCAACGCATGCCACCGTGCTCCGCGCATCCGCACTTGGCAGAAACAAACCCTTTGTCAGTGTCAGAGAATTCAGTATGACTGAGAAGCATGGGTTTGTTGGCTTTTAGCCACGGGGGCTCCCAAACAGTGCTCAGGAGTCCGGCTGGGGCATCCGAGGACAGTGCTGCTCAGGAGCCAGACTAGGTTTGGTAAGCCAGCGAAGGGCCTTGCCCCGTATCCTCCAGCCTCCGGTCACCGTACTCATGGAAATACGTCTCTTTAGCAAGCTGCCCAAATTAGGCGCATCAAAGCAGAGAGCACTGATCTTCCTCGGGGCTAGAACTGGACCATGTCCATGGCTGGACTGGGCGGATGTCGGGCTTGGGCCACAAGCAGGCTTGGGCCCTTAGCTGCCCCTTCCCACTCGCGTAGGTACGCCTGGACCATCGCCCAGTGTCGCATCTGCGCCAGCCACATTGGATGGAAGTTCACAGCCACCAAGAAAGACATGTCGCCGCAGAAGTTTTGGGGTTTGACTCGATCTGCTCTGCTGCCCACGATTCCAGACACGGACGCCAAAGATGAGATCAGCCCCGACAAAGTGACACTTTGCTTATAAACAGAGAAGGTAGGGAGGACGTTGCTGAGGAGGGATGTTTTCTAAGGCCAGGCCTGGAAACAGCTGAAGAGTTCAATTAAGCCCCCTAAAAGCAGTCTCGTGGCTTCCTGGCAGCACTGTGTTGTGGGGTCTCACTCTAAGTCAGAGCAGTCTCCTACGCAGTGGCCAGATGCAGAGCAGATCTGACGCACGCTCCAAAGGCGAAGGTGTCGGGCAGGCACGCAGCCCTTGACAAAGGCAAGCAGTGTACATTTTTGTAAAGGGGCTTTGTTCTTTAGTTCTCTGAAATACCGATTGTAAATTTTGAAAATACTAGAATTAAAATATGTGGCTTGAGCCCCATAATATAGTTTTCATTTCCTAAGGTGTCTGTGAGTGAAGAAGTATTTTGTGTATTTGCTCAGTGTCGGACTCCCCCGGTCCTTCTGTCGCAGTCTGATAATGTGATGCAGACGCTAGATTAGGCCCTCTCCACACAGGCTAGAGGCGACTCTGTATTTTGTAGGCTACTTTATTCATTCCTTGTTCAAATAGTGTGAACTACTCATAAGCAGATAATAATACACAAGTACGAAGTGATTCTTACGAGACTGGTTGCCACCTACCTCTGCTCCCACGTAGGTTGGAAGGGTTGGGGCCTGTCCTCTGTGTGACAACTTTGGTTCTGTACCCCTCCACTCACAGAATCATTGGGACTGACCAGGTCCAACAGACTGTCAGATCGTCAAGCTCTGTCTCTTGCTAAACAGAAAGGTTTTACTATCCTCTACTAAGACACAGGATGACTATCATGTTACTCATTTATAGATGAGTGAATGAAAGGAACGCAATGATGTCTGTTGTAAGGACTGATGACGGACGTCCTGGGGTTGTCGCCCCACTCTCTGGAGTCCAACGTTCCTGTTTGGGAGGCTGGGTGACATGTGGCCTGAGCCCGCCAGTCACCTCCCAAAGAGGGGCGTCCTGCTCCCGACAGTGGGACCCCGTGGGCAGCCCGAGCTGTCTCCCAGTGGCAGTGAGGGACGGTCCCTTTGACATCGCCCCTCCCCGTGTGATCACAGAATGTTCTATATTGTTTACTGACAATTGCAAATAAAATTTTCTGCTGTGTACTAGCATGCACGTGGTGTCTCATACGTGACGCGTGATGCCAGGGCCACGTCTGTGATCTGGTCGGCCTCCCGTGCGTCACCGTGCTCCCTCTCCTGCAGCCCCTTCGTCACACTGTGTCTGGGCTCTGGGCTGGGCTGGAGGGGGGCTGGTCAGAGCACAAAGCTGCCGGAAGCCGGCAGCTGCAGAGACAACGCTGAAAGGTTGGGCCTTTCAGTGGGGGCAGAGCCCGGAGTCACCCGAGGGACACGCGCTGGCACCCCCCCATGGGACAGGAGGAGGGTAGCCGCTGGGGGGGGTCCTTGTTCTCCCAGACACGGGCAGCAACTATGACAAAAGAACCAGAGTTTAGTGCGGAAAGCAGGTGCGTGGGAAGCAGCTCTGCTCAAAACACAGCCTTTATTCTCAGCAGTTCCCGGGGCGGGCGCCATCGGCCAGGCTTACCGACCGCGGGCTGCTCAGTGCTCGGCCTTCCTGACGTAGCTCAGGAGCTCCTCCTTGTCCATGCGGTAGCCGCTCTTCTTCCACTGCTCGCGCAGCTGCTGCAGCAGGACCCCGATCTCCTTCCCGGAGGAGATGCCCACTCGCCTGATGTCGTGGCCGCTGACCGGGAAGGGCGGGACGGTCCAGTGCTGCATCTGGCGCAGCAGGAAGGGCTCGCCCTGGTACTTGAGCAGCTCACACACGCGGGCCATGGCGTCCGGCTCCCTGCACTGAGCCGGCACAGTTAGGACCCGCGCGCTGCCACCATCCCCGTGCTCGGGTGCAAGTCCCACTGCGCCAGCCCACCCGTACTTACGTCTATGACAAAGTCTTGGTAGGGCTTCAACGGCTCTGAACTGTCCACCGCTTTAACTAAGTCTCTTCTGTTTTTGACTATAAATACTCCAAGGTTTTTCTCGTCTTTCGAAATCTTCAGTCTCAAATCCAGTTTCGTGACATCATCTTGTACTTTGAATAACGAAGCCAGGAGAGTCATCGGCTTGGGTGAAAAGCCTTCGACGAATTTACTGACTCTGTTAAATTCTTCCAGACTTGCATCTGCAGGCAGCCCTGTCGGGACAGAAGCATTTCCCGCTCGCTGGTAGCTGCCACAGAGCGTTAAGACACTCCTCGGAACCAGCCGTCCTGAGCTGCTTCCCTCCTGGCCCCCAGCCGCTCGCCCCACCCCGGTCACCGGCCCAGGCCACCTACGAAGGGCCCTGAGCATCCGTGCCGGCGCCTGTGAACCTACGCAGGCCCACTGTCCCTGCTGAAGTGTAATTCAGGCAGCTGCTGGCCAGCTCCCAGTCCACTCTGACTCTTGGCTGCCCTGCTGACCCCGAGGCATCCTGACCCAGCTCAAGCACGGGGGCCTCGCTCAGACCTGAATCCACAGCTTGCTCTCACCTATGTGAGGGGCCACGCCAAGGTCATAGATGAGATGCATCAGGTGGTTCACGTGGTTACCAACAAGAATCTTTTTGAGCTCCACCCAGATCCGCTCCCCCGAGATGCCGGCCAGGCCTTTGGCATTCTCCGCGATGGCAGCCACGGTCTCGGGGTCATGGTCGCCGGGCCTGTCCGCGATCCTCCCGTAGAACCTGCAAGACACCATCACTCCAGGCGCTGACCTCTATGACACCGCCCATTGGAAAAGGGCCGTTATTGGCCTTTCGCTCGGCTTCCCACCCCACACGTCTCCTTCATCAGAAACGAAAAATCAGGTCTAAGAGCGATCTTAGGAACTAAGATTTCTAAGTTAGTTTAACTTAGAAAAAACACTGTATTTTTTCCAGACGTGAAACCCTGAGATGCGATCAAATATATGCCACGTTCCTAAAGGTGTGAAACGAGCCTCGGGACAGTGTCCGCGGTGACCACACTCGAGCCTCAGAGCTGCTTCCCACATCACCTCCCGGGCCTGCTGGGGAGCTGTGGCCTGGGTTCGGGCTGAGGTCCGCCGCACTTGCCCACCGCGTGAGGGGCAGCTGTTAGGCAGTGCTCAGAGTGACCCTGGCCAGTAAGGGACATAAACAAGCTCCTTCAGATAGTCTGAAATGCTGGGAGTTACTTTAAAAATCATTAACTCTCAAAGCCATGCAAATGTCTTTCCTACGAGCACGTGAGCCTCGAAGTTCTGACATCAGAAGCCACGTGCAGCAGAGTCGAGCCCCTCCTTGCTCCCGGCCAAGTGCCCACTGAAGGGTTCCGGCATTCCTGGACGCACCTAGACACCACGGCTTCTCGGCTGACCACCACTGCAGGGCACGGGATCGGAAGAGCAGAAACCAGCAAATGCACCAAAACTCTTACCTGAAATACCTTAAAATTCGAAGATAATCCTCTTGTATTCTCTGTTTGGCCTGTCCGACAAATCTAACTTTTTTATTTTTCAGATCTTCATATCCGTTAAAGTAGTCATACAAGGTACCTTCAAAATCTGTTCACAGCAGTAAAACCAGGAGAGAAATCGTTAGCAGTGAGAAACGGAAGACCCAAAACCAAGCAGGGTGAGGAGCTGTGAAGTTCAAGCCCGTGTGTTCTCTACGAGATGGCACGTTCAACCAGACCCCAGGAGCAGCTACCGAGAGACTCATGTCCGAGAACCCTCTAGAAAATGCGGGAAGTCCAAACGTGGAGTCGCCCAAAATACTAAGTGTTGGGGGGGGGGGGGCATGCCCTGAGAATGGAGGGACCCTGTGAGCAGTTGGGCATGAGGAACCACAGCGGCACCTTCCGAGACAAGAACAGTCGTGAGGGCCCCATGAGCCTGCAGACTTTGTGGCCTTCCAGAAATCACGAAGGCCTCAAGACAAGTGACAACTCCACACCACGGGAAACCCTCAATACAAAGCCCGCCAGCTCGGTGAGCCTCGAGCTAGTGAGCCAAGGCCCCGGGCAGGATATCCCATCACCCAGAGTCCTCACAGACGCTCAAACTCCCCTGGTAACCTGTGAATAGGCACATGCAGACTCTGAATTGTAGCACTGAAACCCCATCAGGAATAACTTTGTATCTCTTGGGGGTTCAACCGCATCCCCACAAAATACAATGTTTCAGCCAAGACCACTGAGGTCACCTGACCACCCCAAGCCAGGACTGAGCCATTCCCACATGCAATGAAGAGGCAGAGACCCCCATCCCGGGGGCCCCCAGAGCAGGGCGCGTCCTACCCTCCACTGTCAACCCTGGACCACTGTCGCTCAGCTGTGCCCCCGGCACCGCCCCGAGGATTGTCCAGCAGGGACACGGGGCCCAGAACACTGGCCACACTCCAGGAATGACTGTCTGCGCGGGGCCCGGAAGTTGAGGCGATGGTAGACTCCAAACGGGGCCACAGGGCCCACCCACACCTCCCCCCCGCGAAAAGTCAGGGACCCCCGACGAGGGAGCTGGACTGAAACCCAGAGTCCAGCCACAGGGCAAGGCCCTCCGGAACTGACCAAGGAACATGGAGTTGATGGTGAGGTCCCGGCGCTCAGCGTCCTTCTGCCAGTCGGTGGTGAACTCCACCTCGGCGTGCCTGCCGTCAGTGACCACGTCGATCCGGAGCGTGGTGATCTCGAAGTTCTCCTCGTACAGCTGGAGCCAGGGAGAACAAGCGTCAGGCAGAGCCCCCGCTGGGCCCAGAGTGGGGCAGGGGCGCGGGGCTCGGAAGCACAGTGCTCACTGCTGGGCAGGTCCCGGTGTGGGGTATAAGCCCCCTCCCAGGACCTTCCGGCAGGGGCCACACCTGGAGGTGCCTGGGGTCTCGGGGGGCCTTGACGGCACATGCCTACGGTTCAGTAACCGTGTCAAGGAAGGGGTGGCAAGTTCCGAGGACATCCGCTGAGCCCAGGGCCGCTTTACAGGGTGCTGAAATCCCCCCACTCGGCCTGTCTGGGAACAGACTGGCTCTCACTACCGCAAGGCAGCAGTCAGGAACCCCGGGCCAGGGTCTCTAACAGTGACACAGGGCGCCGCTCAGGCTGGAAGGAACCTGAGAGAGAGACTGCCCCCTCCACAGCGGCTCCACACCCCGCTGGCCCTCGCCCACTCACAGCCAGCCCCAGGCCTGGGTCCACGCCTGGCGGAGCAGCTCCCTGCCATCGAGGAGGGACAGCAAGTGCCCTGAGAGGTGCCATGGGTGAGAGGGCCCGGGAGCGGAGAAGCTCCAGGGCCGGAGCCCCAGGGGTGCCCAGTTCCTGCGGCCACCCACACTGGGTGCCCCAGGGGAGACTGCCCACATGGGGCGAGTCTGGGATCAGAGCCTCCCAAGCAAGGCCAAGGGGGGCCTCAGCTGGGAGACTTCCAGAGGAGATGCAGAAACAAGGGGGCAGAGCCAAGGGCGGGGTACGCCCGAGGGTCACTCGGTCCCCGCCCAGGCACGGCGAGGGGGAGAGGTGGCCGGAGTCCCGCGGGGGTGGTGTCCCTGCCCTGCCCGGCGGGCCGAGGCTCACCCTGGCCGTGATGGTGCCGTGCTTCTCGCCCTTGTTGTTGATGAGCCGCACGCCGGCCGCCTGGAAGAGCGCCTTCATCTGCTCCGGCGTGGCCGTGGTGGCGAAGTCCACGTCCTGCGGCGCCCGGCCGCTCAGCAGGTCCCGCACGGCGCCGCCCGCGATGCGCAGCTCGTGCTCCTCGCGGGCAAACAGCTCTGGGGACCAAGGACGGCGGGACTGCCCCGGGGCCCGGGAGGGGCATCCCCGCAGGGAGCCAGCCAGCCCGTCCCGCATCCCTCCGACCCTGCCCGGCCCGTCTCTGCAGAGGGTCTGTCCCCGGCCGCGCAGCCCTGCGGGGACCCCGGGAGCAGCGCCGAGCTGCGCCCGCGGCCCAGTCCCTCTGGGGCCCTCCTGGCCTCCTCCCGGCGGCAGCAGGTGTCCACCCCCCGGGCTCCAGGGGCACCCCACGGGCCGGGCCGGCTGCCCGCGGGCAGGGTGGGCGCGCTCACCTATGAGGCTCTTGAGCCCCTCGGTGAAGAGGGACTGGAACTCGGGCGACTGCAGCTTCATGGTGACCAGGGGCCGCTTCCGAGGGCTCAGCGCGCCGGGACGGGTCAGCAGAGGCCGGCGCAAGGCGCACAGGCCCCGCAGCATCCGGGGGTCCGGCCGCACCTGCGGGCGGGGCGCGGGGTGAGGGGCGCGGGGCGGGGCGGGGGGCGCCGCGGGCTCCGCCGCGCAGGCGCAGCGCGGCGGTCCGGGGGGCCGCGGCCCGCGCCCCCCGCCGCCCCCCGCCCGCACTCCGGGCCCCGCCGCGCCCCCCGCCCGCCCGCCCGCCCCCACGCCGGCCCCGCCCGCGCGCCTCGGGCGCCCCCCGCGCGGCCCGGCCGGATCCCCGCGGCCCCCGGGCCGGAGCCCGCGTGGGCGCCCACGCAGCAGCGGACACCCGGCGCGCGCCCCGCCGCCCCTCCCCGCGGCCCGCGCCCGAGCACCGCGCTCCGAGCACCCACCTGCTCGACGGGCCCCACACACCCCCTGCCGCGGCCGCGGCGCCGCGCACTTCCGGGCGCGGCGGGCGACGTCACGACGGGCGTCGGCGCGCGACCAATGGGAGGCCGCGGCGGGTGGGCGGGCCCGGAAGCTGGGCGGTCCGGGGGCGTGGCCGACGCGGTCTCCGCCCCCGGCCCCTGGCGCGGGGCTCGGGCGGCCCCGCGGTGATCCCGCCGCCTGGCGCCGCGCTCGGTTGCGGGGGTGCCGACCCGGGGTGGGGGGCGCGGGGCACCCGCGACTCAGGGCCGGGACTCGGCGTCCGGGCCTGGCGGGACCCCTGCTGCGAGCCGAGGCGGCGCTGCAGCCCAGCCGGCCGCGACCCGCGCTCCGCACCGGCACCCCGCACCCCCGCCACGGGCCCTGCACCCCGCACCCCGCACCTGCGCCCCCCCTCCCCACCCTGCACCCCGCACCCCGCACCTGCGCCCCCCCTCCCCACCCTGCACCCCGCATCCCCGCCACGGGCCCTGCACCCCGCACCTTTGCCACGGGCCCCCCACCCCGCACCCGCACCCCGCACCCCTGCCACGCGCCCCCGCCACGGGCCCTGCACCCCGCACCCCGCACCTGCGGCCCCCTCCCCACCCTGCACCCCGCATCCCCGCCACGGGCCCTGCACCCCGCACCCCGCACCTGCGGCCCCCTCCCCACCCTGCACCCCGCAACCCCCGCCACGGGCCCTGCACCCCGCACCTTTGCCACGGGCCCCCCACCCCGCACCCGCACCTGCACCCCGCACCCCTGCCACGCGCCCCCGCCACGGGCCCTGCACCCCGCGCTCCCAGCCCCGCCCCCCTGCGCCTAGCGCCCGCCGCGTGCCGCCCCCCGCACCCTCGTGCCCGGCCCCCCACCGCAACCCGCTCGTGGCACCCACCCCCTCCGAGCCCCGCTCGCCTTGGGCCGCTGTGCAAGGGAGGGAGCACTAGAACACGAGTCCCTTTTCCTTCCCATGACAAAGGAGGGTGAAGGACGCCCCGCAGCGGCTCCAGCACAGTCCGAGCGTCCATAAATTTTCAATTATCTTAAGAATAAATAAAATCTGCCTCGCACAGTGCCTTTCAATTGTGTAGTCTCTTAATGAGACTTAATTCCTTTAAAATTTTAATGGGCCGCGGTGTTTCCGGCTCCCCAATGAGCGGGCCTCCCATTTTCAGAAGGTTAAATGTCTCATTTTGCCATTAGCTTTCTGAGTTATAATTGACTCCAGCGACTCCCCCAATACAAATATATATGTGAGCCGTGAGCCCAAGAAGGAAACACAGAGAGAGTGGCACTGTAAAGACAGACACACATTAATACAGACATGGAGACATTAATTGTGCCGGGAAATTTTATGCCAACCGATGGATGAGTTGGACAAACTCATTTAAAAATAAGACCCTGCCGCAACTGAAATGGGAGGCAACCACAAATCCGAATCACCCTTTACTGTTACAGACACTGAATTTTGTTCAACAGACTCCACACTATGATTCTTCCAGGCCCAGATTGTTGAGGTGATCAAAATTTTAAGCCATTTAAGGAACGAATAAAACTTACCTTGTAAAATTTTTGTTTTACAGAAACAGAAGAGGGGATGATCTCAGGTCAGCCTAATCCTACAACATGCCTGAAATAAATAGATGTTGCCTAAAACTTTAAGAAAGCAATTTGCAGATAGATGTCCACGGGGCCAAATAAATATCTCTAATAAAATATTAGCAGTTTCAATTTTAAAAATTGGGTTGATCAGCGGGGTTTATCCTAGGACCCAAGGTAGATTTAACACTGGAAAGCCAATGCTATCACTGTAGTTTCATACTTTAAAGGGTACACTGTGTGATCATTCCCAAAGATACAGACTGTAGCACTGTCCTCCCGTTGTTCATCAATTTGCTGGAGCGGGCCCAGGAACATCGTGAGACTTATTGTTACTGTGTTTGGCATATGGAACACGTCACGGGGAGCTTGCCAGGCTTTGCCGTGCAGGCGAGATACTCTCGGTAGCTTGCCAGGTTCTCTGAGAGGGGCGGAGGAATCGAACCCCGCTCAGCCAGGCCGGCCGCTATCAAGGCAAATGCCCTACCGCTGTGCTATCGCTCTAACCAGAAAGGCATTTAAAATTCAACATCTATTCGTGATTTTTTTAAAACTCAGAAAATTAATATTAGCAGATTTTCTCAGTCTGTGAAAAATGTACAACTATCAGCGTGGTTAATGATAAAATAGTGCCTACTTTTCTCTTGAAAAGTAATTTACAAAGTGCTGCATTAGAGCCAACAGTACATATACACACGTTGTAGGAAACATACACTGTATTTGTACATACCATGTTTTAGGAGCTATAAGCTAGGTGAAACCAAAGCAGCCTAGCTCACTCAAAATAAAGATATTCAAAGTCATCCACCGTTCCTGAACTGCAAACTAAAACCACAGCGCCTTGCACGATGAGAACCCGCCATCCAGCGCCCCTGCTGGTGACAAGAGGAACAGCTGGAGATGCCCGACACGGGGCGGAGACACTTAATCACTTAACTTCCCGTTAGTCGTCGATTTGCTCGAGAGGGCACCAGTAACGTCTCCATTTGTTCCCAGAGGAGAGTGGAATAAACGGCAATTGAGAGCCCGGCAAGCTACCAAGAGTATCACGCCCGCACCGCAAAAGCCTGGCAAGCTCCCCGTGACGTATTCGATATGCCAAACACGGTGACAACAAGTCTCACAATTTGTTGTGAGACGTTACTAGTGCCCGCTAGAGCAAAACAATGAACAACTGGAGGACAGGACAGGACAGGATCACCAACCAGCCTGGCCCTCATTTCCTCCTTTGTCTGCTCATGGCATCGGCCGTCCTGGGTGGGGGAGCGGTGCAAGACCACTGAACGCAGGTGGCCAGAGAGAGCCGCAGGATCCCTAGTTGCTTGGTGATTACACACACGGCGAAGGCTCTGACAAGGCCCGCACAGAAAGCAGGCAGGCCGCAGGGTAAACAGAGGTGCAGAGGCCGTGAGGGCGGCAGAGGCGACCAGGCCCTATGGCCCCGGTCCCTGTTACATGGCGGCTAGGCCCTGGCCCAACCCGAATCCCAGGTGCAGGTCCCCATCCTTCGGGCAGGTGGTTCCAGGGCACTTCCCCAGCCCACACAGGGCGTCTGCAGAAGGGCGCGCCTCCACGGGCGGGGGGTTCGTGGGAGGTCCAGCCCACGGGTACCTGCAAGCTCACAGTTCAGGTGGCAGAAGCCTCTGGCCTGAAGGAAGGGGAGAAACTGCTGGCCGCCTTTTGCCTTCTGGAAGCTTCCGTCCCCCATCTTTCAAGCTGGCGGCCTCTGAGCCCTTCTCAGTGACTTGGGTACCACCAGCCCTCAACAGTCCAATGATCCCCCAGGGAAAGACCCTCCCATGACACAGCTTGGGGAGAGACTGGAGCGGGGCCGGTCCGCAGCCTGGGGAACCCCCCCCCCCCACACTCACCCCAGCCCCAGGTGGCTGGACTCATGGAAGGAAGCATGGGACTTCCCCAGCATGAGCAGTGGGGAGCCCCCAGCCCCTCGCACCGCACCCCTCCACCCCAGCACTGCCAGAGCCAGAGAAGCCCCTGCAGGGGGCCAGGTTTCTGCACCCCGGAAGTTGAGTGGAAGGAAGGCCCGGTCAGCTGAAAGCAGGTTTCTGACCCGATTTGCATACTCGGCTTTTTCTGGCCACAGGGAGGGACCCTGGGGCCTGCATCCTCCTCCTGTTCTTTGTAACCCACACTGAGTAATTTCTTCAAAAGAACTGGTTGTTCAAAGGATGTGCTCTTTCTTGGAAACAACAAAAAGTACCTGTTTGAGGAAAACTCCTCTGGTGGAGGAGCAGCTGAGCAGTGGGGGGCTGCCCAGCTGGGGGAGGGGGCACAGCTGCTAGTCCAGTCGGCCGCACCTGCCGGGCACCTGCCCTCCTCAGCCCCGTCCTCATCGTCCCCTGTTTGAAGCAGACATCTGGGCTCCGGTGCTCACAAGAACCAACATCTGGAACTGACCGGAATTTCCCAGGGCAAGGACAGCAAACAGGGAGCCGGGCGGGAGGCCCACCCACTGCAGGCGGGAGAGGGCTGAGAGCGGCACCATCACCATCACAGCCGCCCCCAGTAAGGTGCCTCTACGCCCTCAGCTCTTGCCTGGCCCTTTGTGTTAAAGTGCTCCTTGGGGCAACACCAGGATGCGGGACATTTGCCGCCCTCCTGGGCAAACACAGGGGGGGACGGCTTAGTCTGTCTGTCTGTCTGTCTCCCTCTCCCTCCCTCCCTCCCTCTCCCTCCCTCCCGCTCTCTCTCATCTTCTCTCCCTCCCTCCCTCTCTCCCTCTCTCCCTCCCTCCCTCTCCCTCCTCCATCCCTGCCCCCACCTCTGGCTGGTTTCTTGTCTTGGTAGGAGACCTTTCTGTGACATCATTTCAATGTATGAGCTTCGACCCCCCCCCCCCTTGGTGCACCTTGAGCTCCGCTCATGACCCAGTGAGCGTCAGTCACAGCTCAGCGAGGCAGGGGAGCGGGGAAGAGCCAGACGCTGTTCCTGAGGGCCTTGGCCACTGAGTGGGGAGCCGAGCCTCCTCTCCGCAGAGACACGCGTCCGCTGTCCACCGGACGGACGGTTCCAGAGTGCGGCCA